CGAGGGCGGTCGCAGGCCTGCATGGCTGGAAAAGAGATTGAGTGGTGGCCGCATGATTTGCCCCGCCAGAAGAGGCTCAGAGAGCTGCTGCATGACTTGCGTCTCTGGACTAGTGTCGGAGGAAGGCCGCAGAGTTTGCACCACTGGAGCATTGTCAATTGGCTAATTCAATGATTCCGCCAACTGCGCAGTGTCGGGTAGTGGCCAAAGGATTCACCACCACAATAGGGTCGGGTGGCAGCAGCAAGACTTGCGCCATTGGAACTGGAGTCTGCGGTTGCCATACAGCAAGAATGAGAGTCTGCAGCTGCCAAGAATCAGGAAGGAGCGCCTGCAGCTGCAAAGGAGCAAGAATGGGAGCCTGGTAATGCAGAGGTGTAGGAACAAGAGCCTGGGCTTCATCAGCCTGCCGCCATAGACATTGCAAATAGCAGGCTGATTGAACACTCTAAATTGTCCCTGGGTGTGAGTGTGAGCGTGGATGGTTGTTTGTCTCTGTGTGCCCTGCGATTGGCTGGCAACCAGTTCAGGGTGTCCCCCGCCTACTGCCCGAAGACAGCTGGGAAAGGCTCCAGCACTCCCGCGACCCTTGTGAGGATAAAGCAAATTGGAAAATGTGTGTGTGTGTGTGTGTGTGTATAATATGTGTGTGTGTGTGTGTGTATATAGAGAGAGAGAGAGAGAGAGAGGATATCGTGATCATAGATAAAGGGCAGAGGAAAGCCGTTGTAGTGGATGTAGCGGTCCCAAGTGATGGAAACATCAGAAAGAAGGAACACGAGAAACTCGAGAAATACCAAGGGCTCAGAGAGGAGCTGGAGAGAGCCTGGAAGGTAAAGGTGACAGTCGTGCCTGTGGTGGTCGGAGCACTCGGGGCAGTGACCCCAAAACTAGATGAGTGGTTGCAACAGATCCCGGGAACAACATTGGTCATCTCAGTCCAGAAATGTGCAGTGCTGGGAAGAGCAAGGATACTGCGCAGAACCCTCAAGCCCGAGCTGAATGGGAGACGGATACCACCCGAGGGGTGAGATGAGGATATATATATATCTATATATATCTATATAGATATATAGATATATATATCTATATGTAGATATATATATCTATATATATATGAAGGTCCAACGCCGGGAAGGAAGTGGGATCCGACGGCCTTCGTGTCAAGACGTCTTGGGTTTGCTGCAAACCGGGTTCAGAGTTAAACCCAGGCCAAACCACCGGAGCTCTCAGGGTAACTTTTACGCCTGCATTAGAGGCCCGTGGCCCAGCCATACTTTTGCCAATGCCCGCCCCAGACAACTGAGTCTCTCTGTGGAAGGGGACTTAGCAGAATTTGTGCAAACATGGGCAAAGATACTTAACTTTTTTAAGTTCAGCCAGACCACTGAGGCCGCAACCTTTACACCCAGATGTGAGATCAGTGGCACATACAATCCGCGAATTGATCCTTCTCAGCTTCAGACAAGTTTTAAAGAGTAGTTTGGTCGCTACATGCTTGTGGAGCTAAGTGGGTGTAAGCGCAAGAGTTTTTTTGGCTCCACAGAGCCTGTCATGTTCTCGGAACACGTCACAGCCCCATATGTAGCGCAAAGATCCCTGACAAGCGAAAAGACATTTGTTTTGACGCAGAATACCACACGCCACTCTGTTGTCTACTAGTAGTCGAAGAGAGCGCATCATTTTCGGACTTAGGAGAACCGGTACTGACCAGCCAAATTTTCCACACATTAAAAGTAGAGCTGTCAGTTTAGCGCGTTTTTATTGGCATAAATTTAAATGAATTTAAAAGGGATTAAATTTTTTCTCACGAGATAAACACGGCAGACGTCACAGCGGATGTTACGTTGCTCTATAAATAAACCAGAAACAAAACAACAAGCGCGCTGCACATGTCCACGCACGTTTGTTTTGCCAGCCACGGCAGCGCGAGATACCGAAAACGGATACTTTGAGTTTATGAATGGAAAGTTTACCATCAATGTATACGCTCCCGATAGTTGTCCCCCCTTGGACACCGTGTTCCCGAGCTTCGTCACCAGGGATCCGACGGATATGCCGTTTCTCATCCCCGAGGATGAGAAACGGGATATCCGTGCTTTGAAATAGTTGTCCCCCCTTGGACACCGTGTTCCCGAGCTCCGTCACCAGGGATATCCGTGCTTTGAGGTCACAAGTCTGCTTTGCGATTTCAACTCAAAGCTTGTGTATTCTATGGGTCAATGAGTCTTTTAAGAGTGTAATGAGGATAGAGGTCCCTCGGCCCGTGTATGATATGCCGTACTTCCCGCAATTTGCTTTGCGCATGCCCGCAGTTCATGTGTTTTTGTTTTTTTTTTTTTTACACCCACACATCACCAAGACCCAGAATGCGTGTATCCCTGCGCACGATCTCCGTGGTCCAATCTGCAGCCATAGACTTGACCAGCTCCCAAAGGAATTGCTACCCTGTATATATTCGTGATGCAAGATATGAGAAATTTCATCCGATACCAATAAATTTCCTGCTTTGTAAGGGCGGTACCGATAACCGATATATATTTATTTTGCATACTACAAATATATCTGTTGCTGGAGCTTAAAATAATAAAAAGTTTCAATCACACCTCTTAATTTAGTGGGGTCAGAGAATGATTTAAAAAAAAGAGGTCACTGACAACATACAGCCGCATAATTTGCAACTTTCTGACCTCTTGCCACTTCAGACGGTGAGACGAGTTGTCTCAAAAGCTGGAATGCGTATAGTACCTATTCATAAGGGTGATTGTGTTTTTAATATGGAAAAACAAAAGCAGGGCAGCACGGTTGTCTATTGGTTACCACCTCCGCCACACAGTACAGATGTCCAACGTTCCATTCCGGGCTCTGGCCTTTCTGTGTGGTGTTTATATGTTCTCCCCGTGACTGCATGGGTTTTCTCCGGGTCCTCCGGTTTCCTTCCACATTCCAAAAACATGCATGGTAGGTTGATGGAAAACTCTAAATTGTCCCGAGGTGTGATTGTGTGCGAATGTTTTTTTTTTTTCTATGTGTGCCCTGCGGTTGGCTGGCAAGACAGCTGGGAAAGGCTCCAGCACGTCCATGACCCATGTGAGGATAAAGTCGCTTGCATAATGGATGGATGAAAAAACAAAAGCAATGAAATAGTACAAAAAAATGCACCGTAGGCGTGTTTTTGTGTGTGCATGTGTGTGTGTCCGCATTTGTGAGTGCTACTCCCACAGAAGCGAACAAGCTGGTTGACAGACAGGAGAGGGAACTAGCGTGAGTGAATATTAATGTATGTCAACAAACACGTATGCAAATCACCATATATTGTGTCCATTTTTTGTCACCGAACAAAGTTAATATAGTGACAGGCCTCTGTGAAGACAGTTTCATGGAACAAAATATTTAAAAAATATTACACACCAGAGCCTGTCACGTTGCGTGGTGGTGGTGGACCCCAAAAAGCAGGCAAGAGGGAGGAGCAGGATGTACTTGACAAATTGTATTAAAATACAGAGAAAACTAAATCCTAAACAAAACAAAGTCCTGAAAACAAAAAGAATCCTAAGTAGCAAACCAAAACCATGACTGAAGCAAAAACTATCAATAACCGAAGCATGACCGGAACAATCATGACAGCAGCAAACAAACAAACAAACAATGACCTGACAATGAGTGGTCGGGCGGGAGTCCTTTTATACAACTAATTACATAACGACCAACAGGTGTGCAGCTGCAGGGAGTGCCCTACAGTGCCATCTGTTGGTCACAAACCAAAACATAAAAGTGCCACACTTAAAACGAGCCGTGGTCATATGTATTTAAACAAGTGCAGTAGGACAAAGTGCCGTGTTATCGCATATATCCATCCATTTTCTGAACCACATATCCTCAATATTAGCATTTAGCTCGGCAATATAGCTCGGCTGCCTTGCTTTTCTTCACTTTTCCTCGGATGCCAACCAGACCCGACAACAACCACAGAGCTGGTCGGCCTATCTTGTCCGGGATGTTAAAAAGTGCGGTGGATTGGCTGGACCATATTTGTTCATGTTGCCGACGACGGCGCTTGCCAGACCTGACAATAATTCACGGAGGTCTTGCTGGTCAGGCACCATGTTGAAAGTGCAGTGAACACCTGTCAATTTGTACTGTAATCCAATGCTGATGAAGTCCACATGATTATAGTATTCAGCAACTCAGGTAAAATTACAGCTATCAAGGAAAAGTCACGGCTTGGTCGTCATCACTCATTGACGGCCGCCTAAAGCAGGCCACCCCGAGGCTGTGCCACGGCCGTCGGGTCAAGTTTACCCAGGAAAAAGCCTCGTCTGTGACTGTCATTCAGATGAATGGGACCATGCGCTCATGAAAATGTTTCCCTTGAGTTTCAATATTTATAATAAATACTATTTTTAGAGATTAGATGACTTTGGCTGGTTCTACATTGTATGTATTTAATGCGGCTTTTAATATGGTCCTAAATAGCAGGTTAATTTTGCAGGATCGTTCCAATAAAAGTGACATTTTTTCCACTAATTATCAGTCCGATAAAAATTGGGCATTACTTGTAAATATAAATAATCTTTGTCTTCAAAAGTCATAAATGAGGTGACTCACTGACTGTGACATAAGACAACTCACACCATCTTTCTAACAACAAAAATCAGTGTACCCAAAACCATAGTTAGTTCATCTCAAACATTATTTTGTTCATCCTAAAACCAGTTCAAAGCTTCTGATCAAATAATGCAATTTATTGAAATAAATGAATAATTAAATAAACACATAATTTACAGCATTTTTATATAGTGTGAAGTGGCTTCTTTGTGCTTTTGTACTATACTTCTAATTTATAAAATATATATAGATTTTTAAAAAGGTGACAGAAGCATTTAAGCAACAGTACAATGCAGTTTTTTTTTTTTTGGGTTTTTTTTTTTTTTTTTTGAGGATGTATGTGTTTTTGATGATCCTGTTTTCCTCCTTCCTTCTCCTTCTTGGTCTTATAGGTCCCCTTACAAAGAAACACTCTGATGATTTAAGTGATAGTGACCACGCAGCAGAAGAAGGTATTTTCCATTTACTGACAAAAATGCTTGATTTGCATGATTACGGAGACCAAACCAAACCTTCACTTTCTCTTTAAATATTTTATCTTTTGTAATTTTTCTAAAGTTCTTGTCAGTTTTGCATCTGCCTTTTTTTCTTTTTTTTTTTGAAAACTGTTTTTTGGCTCAATGTATTTTACCCTTTTTTCAGCTTTTTTGTCAACTATATTCTCTTTTGACACCGTGTGTCTGGGTTTGTACTTTCTTTCGTATTTTTCTATGTTGCATCTGACTTTGCAAATCAGTAAATATTCGTTACAACACTCTACTGAGAACATGTTTTGCATGCCATACATTATTCTCTTTCATTTAAACTACCATTAATAACATCTTAATTTCTTGTTTATACTTTTGGTAACAACAGACGTGCTCAGCTTAAGTCTAGCACAAAGCACGTCCAACAGTGCGCATTGGTGCAGTTTCGCATGCAGTTGGGCTTATTCTGTTGGGCACGATGAACTCAGCCAATCTATTTCCCAGCCAATGGAAACGGCTCCTCTCTTTCATGTAAAATTTACGCAAATGTAACGTAAATCTCAGTGTAACTGTGCGCATGGGTGGCGTTTTCTTGCATTTCCTAGAAGTGGATGTTTGCACCGTTGTGCCCCATTGTGGGGTGGAACGCAGCAGACTCCCAGCCAATAGAAGTGGCTCCCTGCATTCCCTTTAAATTCAGAGCAGAGAGAGTCGTGCGGTCTACCTGGCATGCAGATGCAGGAGATCGGCACACGCAAAGTACATTTAAAAGGAACTGCAAGAAGACCTTTAAGGATAATGTAAAGTTGGCCGTTGTCGATGGGCACTCAGAGATTGCCGTCCACCCCTAATCGTGCGTCTTTGTGTGACCCCCACACACAGTCAGCGGGGTGCTATCAAAGTATTGTGAAGATAATAATGACAATAACGAACTACATGCACGCACCATTTCCACATTCAGATACAAAGACATGTTAACTTCCGGTCACGAGTGTAAGGCATAGCATCAAAGTCTTCAACATAGACTCGCAATCTGTTGAAATGATCTCAAGTTACCATGAATGACCTTGAATGACCATTACCTTATTATTTATTCCAGTTGTTCAAGTGTTGGTGAAGCGATCAAAGCAAAATATCTCAATGAATGAGCCATTTGGTCATGACTAAATGCAGGTCCGTGTGAACAAAAGACTTGCATGATTTATTTTGATACGCTCAACCCAACTATGTTTAGTGAGCACAAAAACAACCATGGAAAAGAAGACAGTCTTTATTGTCATTGTTCTATGGTGCCGATGCAGCAAAATTGAGAAAACATAAAAGACAACCAATAACAAAATAATATTACAGGTATTTCTCAACTTACAAACATAATGGGTTCCGAGAGGCTGTTTGTAAGTCAAATTGTTGAGACACATTACATTTCGTTTTAAAATTCAATGTTATGAAATTACTTAAATTAATTAAATGATATACAAAACACTGACGTGAACAATAAAAACATACATCTAAAACACAAAATACAATTTCACTTACATTTACTCCCACTCAAATAGACCAACCTTCCAGGATGGAGAGTGAGCCTGTCACTTCAGATCGTTTGTGGAATTCGCAAAAGCAGTTGTTTTCATTGAGGCAGAGATGAACATTGCACTTTGCACATTTGTACACTGTCTGCCCCTTACAACTGGACAAAGCTGTAGATAAAAGAAATCACTTTGGTATCTATTCATTGTTTACACATAGCTACATCCCAAAAAGTAAGATGATAATTTATTTTCACCTGGTTTTATCTCCCTATGATCACAGACAAACAAAATTCATCAAATGCTGTCAAAAATATGCATCATGTTAGCACCACAAATATAAAATAAGATGAGAAATATTTTGATCTTTGCACAACTAACCTCCAATCGAACAGATGATCACCGCTTGCAACCCAAAAATTAATCTCAGCCCTCCAAAACAGGATATAGCGTCCCCTCCCACCACAACCCGGAGAAACTAATGCTTGCAAACTACTCCAAGGTGTGTGTTGGTAATGTATCAACCAGCAGAGAGTGGGGAGGGAGTGAGTAAGAGAGCGAAGCTTCGTGATTCGCTGGGGAGCCGAGCGAGAAAGACGGACAGACTTTCTTTGTTGATTCAATGTTGAAATGTAAAAAATGTAAAACTTTCTCCTTTTTAGCACTGGCTCACTGGTTTCCCTTTTTAATGTTCAACATTTTCCTGCCATCTCTTTTTTTTTTCAACCGAACTGGACGCTAACAACGAGACTCAAATGAGGACAAACTTCCCATAACTCCTCTCATTCTGGGCCGACTCGAGACAAACTATGAGTTTAACATAGGCAGAATTTACTCCATAATGTTTATGTTGGTGCTTGAATTGGATTGAAGTGGTTGGGTCACCCTCATTAGTCCAACATTGTCTGGCTAGAAAGCTAACACCACCTTGTGTGAAGATCGCTACTTTTTAGTTTCTTTCATTGTTTAAGTTATTATTCTTTGTTCCTCCTGTCTCTGTAGTTAGTTTTCTTTGTGACGTACTGCTTCCAATTCGTATGTAGATATGGAGAATTAAAGTGGACATCACGAGAACTGTATTGTATACAGCGTGTAATCTAAACTGTAAAATACAACTCAAAACTCTCCAAATGTGTCATCCTTTTAGGAAGGACTGATTTAAAGAGGTTTTTCATCAGTTTAGCCTTAATTAATCCACAAACAGACGTGTTACCCTGAGAGGTGCTCGATGTTAACGCAGGCATTAAACTGAGTCGCCGTCAATTAACAGAATAATTGACCCAATTCTTGCTACATAATGGCACCCTGTGATGAGGAACATCTAAGTCTTATTGAAATACAAATAACAATCTGACAAAGTGCAGCATGTCTGCTGTCTTAGGAAGTACAGCATTGTCACTACAACTTAACACGATTCAGCATAGAGGGTTAATAATAAGGAGTCTAATGTGGAAAAGTAAAATAGTCATAAATGTGTTTGTTTAGCCTTGGTTAAACTGGAGTAAATCTGCCGACACAGCTGACAAATATTAATGACATGCGTTGATATTAACCCCTAGTAGGGGCAAGGAAAAACAAACTGACAGGAGAAAAATGAGAAACTTTGATAAGTGGTCGCAGATGGGGGAATACCCCTTCCAGGATGATCAGGCTGCAAAGGATGCAGCCATCTCATTACCTCTGCGTCCCACGTCCTAGACGCATAATTTTCCCGCCAGACGTACAGTCCCAAATAACGTGCGTTTTTGGAACGCAAGGACATTTCTCAGTCAAAAAAAACTACAGAAAATATTTTTTTCCAGCAACGATCGCAGTTTGATAATTGCCACCATTGTTGTTTTGATCTCTCGTTAAGTAATCTCGCGTGACGAGATTTCCGTTCTCGCGAGACGAGATCGGCTTTCACCTCGTGGAAAGCGGATGATATCCAAGTTGTGTAATGTTAAAACAAGTGTTGCGAACAAGCATTGTGAAAGTTTACTGCGGAGATATCACACAGCTAAAGTTGGATATTTTTTTGCGATAATCATCATTGGAAGCAGAGCAAAAGGGAGAATTTATGAACTCAAAGACTGAACCATGGGATGAAATAAGAACCTATTTCTCAGCAAATCTTGTATGCCTGAACTATTTAAATTTTTGCAGCATTTGTTTATAAGAAATAAACCTATTGTTAATGTATATTGTTGTTGTTTGTGTTATTATCATATGCAATTGAATAAGTAGACCATTTCAGAATTCGAAATTTGGGACTCTGTAAATGCATAATGGGACTCATACTTTTCTGATCAGCGAGTCCCTGGGACACGCAGGGCTCACACTGTGAAATTATCACTATGGATGCTGAGTGGGCAGAATTTATCACATTATGGTTCGACACAATATTAGTCAGAATAATGCAGAGACGTGGGGCCTCCTCAAAATCCAGTCCGGAAATCTCTAGCGCCTCCAATTAGGTGGTCCACATCAGATCTTGTATCGATCAGTTGGTGTAGAATCGGCAAAGCGACATCCAACTGGGTCATCGTCACCTAGCCCCCTCTTCAAACCAGGAAGGAGGGGGAAGGACTGACAGAAGAAGCAGAAGTCAAACAGGCCAACATGTAGTTCACCAAAATGCAAGAGTATACAAATAAGTCTTTTGTCTTCTGATCTCTGGACACTAACTCCCATGGGTATGTTATTCCAAAGCACTCGAGCCTAAATAGAACATGCACTACAAACTGCATACTTCTTTTTGGCTCTCAGGATCTTAAAATACCGGCGTGATGTGTACCAGTTCGGGACAGAACATACAGTATGACTAAATGAATGGGATGGGAAGGTGCTAAGGTGTGTAATATTTTTTAAGTTAGTCGCAAAACCTTGAAATCCCATTTTCAATGACCGTTAACCAATGAACATTCGCTAGTATCGGGGTAATGTGAGCTAACCTTCTTGATCTTGTTACGACTTTAGCTGTGCCTAGTTTAGGACAATTTTCGGCCCACTCAGCTCACCCGTTCAATTCAACTGCTGCAGTTCTACCCTGTGGTTTCACTCATAAACTACACATATGCACGTGGGAGACATCTTTTCAAACACTTATTAGCATGACTTCAATGGAATGGCAATCCATTGTTTACCTAATTACAATTATCATTTTGTGGCTTGCTGGGGCCGCCTGTCTGTCTCGTCTGCCTGCTACTGTACCAATGATCTGTGACGATAACTTCAATTCTGTCTTAACCAATTGCATCCTAGCATAGGCCCATGACAAGCCATATTTAAGCCAAAGGGAGGTCAAAACTACAGGACGAGACCAGCCAATCAGCTCCACCCTCCATGACCTCACTTTTTAGTTACAGTAACTCGATAAACCTCATCAATCTCCATAAACCATCATCATAAATCATACCAAAATGCTCAATCAAACTAGACTAACCACAAACTGGCCTCTGTTTCGATATACTTTACTTTTATCGCCAACATCTTCAACACACAGTACTTCCATGATGGGTTCTGGTCAACAGACACATCTTGGATGAGCATGCGCTCCAAAAAGTCTATTACCAAGAGCGTGCCAGACCCAAGTTGCTTCGCAATTCCAAGTATGGCTGCGAGACCAGGTTTTGCTCTTTTTCCCTTTTGGTTTTTCAACGTTCACTGTTTCTTGTTTAAGTTAGACTCTGCCTTGGTTTTCCTGTGTCACCGATTTCTGTTCATAACCTTTATCAACTCAACTCAACTCAACTGTATTTATAGAGCACTTTCAAACAGCCATCGCTGCATACAAAGTGCTGTACACGGAGCAAATTAACATATACAACAAACAGTAAAGCAAATCGGTAATAAAAACAGTAGAAAGCACCGAACAGCAAAACCAAGAACAATCTAAGTCAAGCTGAGTCAAATGCCAAAGAATACAAGTGAGTTTTGAGGCGGGTTTTGAAGATGGGCAGCGAGGAGGCTTGCCGAATGCTCAGTGGGAGGTCATTCCAGAGAGAGGGACCAGCAACAGAAAAGGCTCGATCCCCTCTGAGCCTCAGTTTAGTTCTTGGTACTTCTAATCATGTCTGGTCCGCAGACCTGAGTCGGATCACACTTTGATAGAATGGCTGCAAAGTGAGGGTTTCCTCTTCCTCACGTGCTGTTTTTCATCCTCTTTTGCTGAAGAAGAAGAAAAGAAGAGGAGGACTGTTGCCATCGCCGCCCCGTTGGTAGCCCTCGCTCTGGTGCTCGTCCTCGTGGCCATTGTCGTCGTCATCAAGTGTCATCCACGCAAACCAGGTGAGCCACACAAATCGCTTCCAAAGACACCAGTCTTTGCTCTCTGCCATTCAATCTCACCTTGTCCTTCTTTTCAGACGATTACGCACCAGCGAGTAAGTCCAATCTTTTCTTCATTTGAATTTTGAACATTTTTTGAACGAATTGACCTGTGTTGTCGTCATCAAGTTGAGCCCGTGAATGGCTTCGTGTGGCACATGTCACTTCACGAGTGCGACTTTGTGCTTTTCAAGGTGCCGAAGTGCCGAGCTCGCCGAAAAGGTCAAAAGCGGTGCAAAACACAGCGGCCGGCGCAACACCGTGACAACGTTTCATGGACACGATAAAGAACTTATGCCTCTGGGTTTTGTGATCATGTCTGTCTGCACATGTTGCTCCAAGGTCTGCTCCAAGGGCCACAGCAGCTATCCATGCTAATCGTTGGGCCACAACGGCGGTTTCCATTATTTGTGAGCCTTCAGCTATCGGTGTCTTTCTGAAAGAAAAGTTGTTTGTTTATTTTAAACACACAAAATGCAATTCTCTTAGTTTTTTTGTCTAGTTTGACGGTAAACTATGAGTGTCATTAACCAGCCTGAATTGTCTTATTTTGGGGGGGGTGTTCGAGGATAGACAAACACAATGTTATCATGTTTTAAAGTTTCATTTTGTTACATGCTTGATTGACCTCGAACGCGTGTGTTCACACATCTTGCACACAATGAAGCACAGAGAATCAGGAGTCAGTTGGAGGTAAAGGGACCCACACGCGCATGTTAACTGACAACTTGGAAAGGAAGATTAAACTTTGGGCGAAAGGGAGTACTCGGTACGCTCCATCATCAGAAAGGGTCACGGGCCAGGTTACAGATGTCTCAGTTCATGGAAAGGCCACTCGTTAAAATGTCTTTGTTTCTGTTGGTTTATGGATGTGGGTGCTGGTACTCGGGGAATGCCTTGGCCTTCAGGGGCGCACTGAGGGGCGACCCATTGGGGCCGTCCAGGGGCGTGGTATGTAAATGAAGATGGGAGTGTTTTTCGGATATATTACTTGTAATTTGCATACACAATCAAGAAAAAGCTGGCAGAGGCTATCTTTGGGGCGTTTTGCATGCAGGAGACACGATTGGCTGTGTTGCTCATTGTTCCAATGACCCCCGATCAGAAGCAGATATTCTCAAACAGATGGGCGACAGTGAATTTCTCAGCTGTTTTTGCCCATGCCACCAAATATATGCGCAGCGTGATGCCAGTTTCATCATTTCTAGAATTCGCCGTGAAAAAAAGTGATTTTTGTTTTTTATTTTATTTTTTTGGAGTGAGAACTTTCATTGCTTTGTTACGATAATGTCAGAGCTACGTGCACAATTCTTGCTGATGCGTGAAGGTGATCTTGGCGATTTAGTTCTTTTGGTGGCTAGAATTGTCAATAGTGCAGCTAAAGTATACAGATAGATCATTTGTTCGTCCCATGAGGGAAATTAAATTTGGGAAAGAGGCAGGGCAAAACAACAAAACAAAATAACCCCCCCCTAATGTTATTGAAAAATGTCCACTCAGAGAGTTGCCTT